GTCACTCTCCAGCAATTGAACCAGTTGGGGTACGAAGCTCTCCCTCACCCACCCTATTCACCAGACCTTTCCCCCACGGACTACCACATTTTCAAACATTTCGACAGTATCCTCTGGGAGAAATCGTTCTCCAGCCAAGCAGTTATTGAAACCGCCTTCAAACAGTTCATTGACTCCAGAAATCCAGATTTTTTTCAAAAATGTATAAATGCGCTTGTAACTCGTTGGCAGAAATGCGTTGATTGTAATGGAACTTATTTATATTAATTAACTTTATTTTCAGCAATGATATGAAGTCTCAAAGTTGCGGTTAAAAAACCGACAGAACTTTTGTAACCTAATAATTGATGCAATGCAAGCATACCGCACGGAGAATGGAGTTCGAACCGGGCCTTGCCTACCGTGGATGCTGATAGCTCTCATGAACTGCTTTGGAAGAATTGGGAGCGTTCAGGAGAATAAAATAAGCGGGCGACCTGCAACCCTTCTGTAGGTAGCAGCAGAAGTGAATGAAGTAGGGTAAGTTTTGTCACAGGAGGGGCTGCATTATTCATGATACAACTCAAGGGTTGAAGCTCCTATTTGTTCAAAGCATTGGTTGAGAGATTGTCAATATCTGTGGTTGGCAGGACCCGGTGCTGACTATTCTCCGTGCGCTACATCCTTATCGTACGAATCACACATTCTCCATTTGCGTAGGAACCACATGCTGATGACAACTCTGCAACCTCCCTAATCCAACCACTAAAAGTGTGCATTGATTATCGCCACCTATTAAAAAAAAATCATGGTGTCTTCAGTTATTATTTCCTTTATTTGTGCTTACTTTTTGCACGCTCTGTATATCTGGCAATGATCTCATCGTGAGAGAGAGCTTACGAATATCCAGCGGTTATCCTATTAACAACGCGGATTCATGTCATGTCGAGACCAAGAAAAAGGCAGCGCTGACAACAATTTGCACTCTCATAAACTTGCTAAGAATTAGACCGACCCACCTTGTTCACCATCAAGACCATCTGTTCACTTGGACTGATGTTGACTAATCGCCCCTTACCTGAAACTATGACACCTGTTGGAATTGGACAAGGTGGAAAACGCTTTCATGAAAAAGACACGTCGCCTCTCTAGGTGCTGGAACTTCATCGTGAACGTAATCCCAGAAAGTCCATCATTCGCCAATTGAAATTAGAGCAAAAAAACTAACCGCCATCTCAAGGGATTCAGGAGTCATTGGTTCCACAAGCAACCATGCCACTGCACAGACCACCACGAACTCTTCCTCCCCCCTTTGCTTGCGACCTCTGCTAGAGTCCCGCGGGATATCGCCACCACCTGATGGAATGCTTTGCAAAAGGAAATCATAGCCTCTTCTCCGTGCTGAAGAATCTGCTGACTTGCTATGTCAAAGTGATTCTGTGTTCCGGCCTCTCACCATGCTACTTTTTCTATCGACTTCGCTTTTCATATTTGACAGTGCTACACCCAGGCCTCAGTCAGTGCCTCATTGAGGACGAAACAAAAAATTGGAAATAGGTTCAAAGGATGTGTCTGCTTGTAAGGTTAGTTTTTAGCCTAAAATCTCAGCCCAATATGAAAGTTAGCACAACCTCCTTCGTCGTGACTGACTCATGGCTCGACATGAGGTGATCCATTATTATGAGTCATAGCAAAAGTTAGCTGTGGGAAAGCCGGGGAGTATTGTTTCCGTTTTAGAGAGTCCGTCTTGAGTATGTTTGAATTTATGTTCTTCCGACCTTGAGAATGAATGGTGGAGCCTAAGGCGTTCAATTGGAATATACAGCACTAGACTCTACAGCTCGCCCGTATCTTATCATGGAGTCGTAACCTGCATCCCACGTACGAAGCGTAGGAGCCGCTCGAGCCGTCGTTGCTTTTCTATGCTCAGACCCTGCCAGACCAGTCTGCTTTTGTTTCATTCATGTACCGAGATGCGATAAAGAGCCGTTTCTTCGTCTGCTTTTGGACATGAATAGCGAATTTTCAACTGCCGTTTTTCACTCGAGTCGATACGCTTGACTTCGACCCCCCGGGCAGGAGGAATGTCCCATGCACGAGCATCCGAGCCTAGTGCGGAACACCAGGTTTGGATTGAACGGATGATGCGCACGGAGACGAGACGGTTCCTTTCGCGTGTTCTGCCGATGATGGCTGTCCCAGATGACTTCACGCTCCCGGAATGTGTCTTGCACGCACACGCACACACCTGCGCGCACTTTTAAGAATAAGTTCACGTGAATTACACTATCGTCGATACCGGAGCTTCGATGCGATGTAGGTCGCAAGAAAAAAAGCAACGGTCCCTATCTCTATCCTCACATGTGAACGCGTCTGCGCTTGGCTTGGCGGTCGGCCTGGCATTACTGGTCTCCAGCTTTCTCCTCTCACGGGTCTCTCCCCCAACGCAATACTGTACAGGGTGCCCCAAAAGTCCCAACATCTTATTTTCCTTTTTGGGAAAGAGCTCTTGTGCGATTTTTTTCTTACTTCAGCATGGATTATGTATACTACATTAGACGAACCATTACTACTCTCCCGTCTCTCCTTAATGCTGCGGAATACATTTTTCGATAATTAGAGGGGCAGTGTGATCAGCTGCATTCTGGATGCGAATTCTTATTTCCAAATGCTGTTCACTTCATTCAGGTAAGCAACCCTTTTTTTCACTGACGACCCTAGCTTGCGCCCTTGATCTGGTTGGAGATGTAGCACGATTTGCGGGCGATAAGCCCTCGGTTTTAGAGCACATGCTAGGGTTTGACGAATGGCATTCTTTCGGAATTCCTTGTTGCAGTGCCCCTTCGCGCAAAAATTTATTCCTACTTCGCTTAAATTCTTCCTTTACGGCCTCTAACGAGTATCTTGACGTCTATTTCGTTTTACCACTTATCTTATACGCCCCCCTTTCGTGAAAGTTTCTTGACTAGTTCTTCAATAGCTTTGTGCTATGATACTTACTCGTGGATTATGCGAAATCACGAACGATGTCATTGGACTTTCCTTCCAATCTCCAAATCACAAATGTATTCCTTTCTTCCAGGTTCAGCGTGACAACGCATGTGATGGCAATGAGCATTTTCTCATTTCGGAGACCAGTATTCGTTCACACTTGTTAATAAAAAATAAAAAATAATTCTGGTAGGGTCTTTTGAGTCACCCTGTTGACATGTATAGAACCATGTAATCTGCCTTTGTACACATCCGCCTAAATCCTTACAGACACACCGACTCGTATCAGTTGTTCTCTTCCCTTGCATGACCCTGATGGTGATGGCGGCCGTATAGTAAGTATCTCCAGTGTCTGATATGAGATGAGTCATTCTTTACCTGGAATGACTGTCACTCTTTCCACTTCCTATCGCCTTAATATACTGCCTTTCAGAAGTCTCCAAACACTTCTCATGCTCCTATACCGAAGCATATGGAACACCAGATTAAACCTCTATTTTTCCGCAGGATAACTTAATCTTTTCATTTGGGAGGATCTGTGCTAAAATCTACTGCAGCTGGATTCCATGTCATTTTAAATTTGTGTTAAGGGAATGTGAGAAATTACACTCTGTTGTTTTAAGAAACAGTATCTGAGTGCATGCGCAGTACTTATCGAAGAAATTCTTTTGGAGAAAGTGGGTGGTTCTAGATGCTAGGGATATCCTGAGAGCAAGTGCCAACAAAGCTGTTAAAGCATGTGTGCTTAGACAAAGGCTAAAAGCTGCCACAAGTAGGCAGTCCATGAGCTGACTCATTAGAGTCTTCCAAGATGCGGAATTTGGTTTCAGGTAGCATGCCATGGAATGTCATGTGAGAGCTCCTGGGGAGAGAGCCTAGCTAATTCCAGCATGAGAAATCTGCCTCTGTGATTAGCTTTGGATTGCAGCTGTTGTATATGGGTTATGAACTTATTGCAACTGTTTTACATTTGTCATTTTAACTGTGAAGGAAGTCATGATAAGGTAATGCAATTAGATTAATAACAATTTTCTTCATTAATAGTAGAAGGATGAGTTGATAGTTTGCAATTAGGTGCATACTTATTCTATCATCTGCAAATAGGTGCATAATTTTTTTTTATCAACTCATCATTCTTGTGTGTCCTCTCCTGTTTGCAATTTGAATGTGAAAGATGCATTCTACTGGTATGGACAAGTGCTAAGAAAGAAATAATGGTCAGGCTTATCATTGTAATTACATGCATTTGAAAATCTTGCTACTTTCTAATTCAGAAGTTCTCAGCATCACTTGTCTTATTCATTTGATTGTTGCAAAACTTATAAAATGTAAAAGATTTTCTCAAGGGGCTTTGATAACATACATGGATACATATTTCTTATTGTGAGCATGAATGCAAAAATAGCCATTTATGATTCCATTTAAATTTCAAAAGTAAATACATAATTCATTTATACCATATAAACATGATTTTTAATACATAAATATGGACCAGTAGGACCATGATATTAGTGACATGCAGCAAACTTGATTTTATAATTGGCCTCCATGGGAATTAAAGTAATCTGGTTAAATTCCAACAAAAGTATATTATGAAATTGTTATGTTTTTCCAGTTAACCCTTGCCACTCCTATTGAAATTGTACTATTGGAGCAGGTGATGGTTTTTACTTTGCTAGTCCATCAGGTGTATTTGCAATGTTTCCATGCAAATGATTTCAACCATTTTTTTGTTTGCCTTGAAATCATACACTTGATTCAATCATTTACAATACAGTTAATCCACTTAATGTAGTCGGGTGGTAATCCACCTAATGAGTGTTGGAAGAACCTTCTTGTGAGCTTGAGCCTGAAGATTCTCATCCCTTCACCTTCAACAATGGATGATTAAGTGGATGCTCCAAAGCAGAAAAATGAACAGATTATTTCCTTTTCATTTCATATTATGCATGTTGCAGCCCATTACGTTATTATTTTCTAACATTTGCATGAGGCTTTTAATGATGTTATGATTCCTTTCTCATCACCAGTTTGTTCGCTGGCAGCTGGGCGGTTCTGTACCTTAGTGAGCGGTTCTTGGGATTGCAGTGCAAGGGTATGGCAAAATGAAATCTGTATGGCTACCCTGGATGGGCATAGTGCAGCAGTATGGGCTGTAGCCATTGTTCCAGGCTCTCAGATCATCCTTACTGCCTCTGCTGATAAAACTATTAAAATTTGGCAGGGAGACAAATGCCAACACAACTGCCTTGGTATGATTGTAGTTCTGAGTCATACTTTCAATTTTGTTCCATAAAAAGTGCCCTTGGTCTTGCCATTGAATTGAGGGTGGTTGTTTTGTGACTTAGGCCATACAGACTGTGTGAGAGCCCTAGCAGTCCTGTCACCATCTGAATTTGTATCATGCTCTAATGATGCCTCCATCAAGAAGTGGAACATCAGTGGGGAGTGCCTGGCCTCCCTCTATGGGCATTCAAATTTCATCTATAGGTAAAGATACAGTTCAACTCATCTTGCCAAGGTGTCACTGTCCATCTGTACTTTGTTTGATTCAGTGTCAAATGGTTATTACAGTGTCTCAGTGTTGCCCAATGGGATTGATTTGGTGAGTTCTGGAGAAGATAGAACTGTGAGGGTGTGGAATGGTACTGAATGTGAGCAGACCATCTTCTTGCCTGCTCATTCAATTTGGGGTGTGGCAGTTTTGGCCAATGGAGATATTGTTGCTGGCTGCAGGTGTGTCATATTCCACATATCTTAAGACCAATACAATATAAAAAGAAAAGTATATCAACTCCAGAATTTAATTTCTTCCTCAACTCCAAAAGTGATGGAACATGTAGAGTCTTCTCACGAAACCCTGACCGCTGGGCATCACCAGAAGAGTTGAAGGAGCTTGAAGACGAGCTTTCAGCTACACAGGTTGCATCTAGTGGAGAGCTGGGTGGCATGAAAGTCTCTGAGTGGGTTCATCATTCATTTCATTACTTCTTTCTTTGCAGAATGAGATTGTCATTACCTTTCCTTTGTGTGGTTCTTTTGATAGTCTGCCTGGAAAGGAAGTGTTAAATGCACCAGGGAAGAAAGACGGACAGACAAAGATGGTGAGAGATGGAATCAATGTAGTCTTGTATGCATGGAATATGGCAGAAGAGACCTGGACAAAAGTGGGTGATGTTGTTGGTGCAAACAAACCTGAGAAAACTCTCCATGAAGGAAAGGTATGTGTGATCCTTGCTGCTTGACATGCAGCTACAAATGACACTCAAGATGAAGTGAAAAGCTGATGTCTTTTCCACCACAGGAGTATGACTATGTCTTCACAGTGGATGTGGAGGAAGGGAAGCCTCCCTTAAAACTCCCCTATAATATCACTGAGGAGCCCTGGTATGCAGCTCAAGCCTTCATTGAAAACAACAACTTGAGCCAGCTCTATCTTGACCAGGTTGCCAACTTCATCATTCAGAACACAAAGGATAAGGCTCCGAAGCAATATCAAACCCCAGGAGAAGCTTTTGCAGACCCTTTTACAGGTTTGTAAGCCCCAATGGGGTGAAATATATGTGTGAAACCTCACTGTGACAGTAACAGTAATGCCATTATGTTTTCATTAGGTGGTAATAGGTATATACCAGGCACAGGTGAAGCCAGTTCATCTTCAAGCTCCCAAGGAACTGACCCATTCACTGGATCAGGTCGATATATTCCCAGTGAAGAATCCCGGGCAGGTGATGGAATGGGTTAGTTTTAAGGTATATACCAGGCACAGGTGAAGCCAGTTCATCTTCAAGCTCCCAAGGAACTGACCCATTCCCTGGATCAGGTCGATATATTCCCAGTGAAGAATCCCGGGCAGGTGATGGAATGGGTTAGTTTTATTTACTTAGAGCAAGAAGTTGATTTTCTTATTCTAAACTCCAGTGTTTGTGATATAGAAAGTGGTGAAGTGCCTGATGCTGCTCTTCTAGCCAACAATCCCTACTTCCCTCAGAAGGACTATGTGAGGTTTGACACTGCCAACTCAGCTGCCTTATTGGGTAAGAAATTTTTTTTTCTTTCTTCTATGATCATTCACATGCAGGCAGTGTGACCTTTATTAATTTCAACATTTGAAGGGAAACTACTTGAGTTCAGAACAAATGTGAATCTGCAATTGGATGAGGAGATTCTGGTTTCAGCAGTGACAGCTGTGGAGAATCCAAATATGGCAGGGTGTCTTAGGATATCTCAGTTCAGTTCTGTGATTTCCATTTTTCTTTCTCGATAAAATAAAATTATTCCTCAATAAAGGACTTGTTTCACATTTTCCCATTGATTATGAGTCATACAATACATGTGAACTTCAATTTATTGACACTTAAATGTAAAAAGACTTGAAAGTTATCTGGATCAAAATAGTTTATGTTTCTTATATTCACAAACACAGTTCCTCAAAAAGATGCCACATTCAATTGGCTTGTTCACAAGCATCAATCCAATCATTGTACACATCAATAGCCTCTGACAGGAAGTTGATTGTGGTTTGGAAGTCCTCCATGCACACACGACATGTAATTCGACCAGTGTTCCTTGCCTTGTCCCTGAAGCAAAACAAAAGCAGGATAATTAGCAATTTGAATAGCCGTGTTTGGCCACCTTATTCTGCCAAACGATGAATTACTTCATGAAAGTGGGTTGAAAATTTGTCAATCCTTACATTCTCATGTTGCACTGCATGTTATTAACCAAACCAGGAATTTAGGCTTATGTTGCAATCGATGCTTCATGGCATAAATGGTTCAACTATGCATCACAAGTAATCCAAGTAATCAACATTCAGAAAGAAAAGGTCAGACTGAAAAAATGCAAATAAATTAACAATAATGTGACACAACTCTGAAAACAGAATTATTTACGGCTCCACACAAGGTCCAATGCCCTCTTACAAGGCACTTCCATTCTTCCTAATCTCTGTATCTCACCATTTATCAATTGATACACTGTGGCCCAAAAATATACATTTCTATAAGTGTAATATGATTCATAGTTTTACTCCATATGTGGAAAATGACACTCTGCCATGGCATAAGTTTATTTTTTTCATTTTGCAATCATGCTTTTTCTTTTTTCACTAAAACAAAACTTGAAATTTAGAAAAATTTTTTAGAAAAACATTTTTTTCAGGCACTCAATATATTTTGCTGAAGCATCAATGCACCATTAATAGTCAATCCATTGAGATTTCTAAAAAACCATAATGATAGCCTTAACACTGGTTCAGTCTTGGGAGAAAAACTCGCAGTTGGCCAAAATGAGAGGAGGAATTTGCAGTAAATTTTCACGTGTAAATTCAAACAGCAACTTTTGTGAAATAGCTTTCTTGCTGTCTTTCCCAGAAAGTGTTGAACCTTTTCATGGGCAAATTTTTCTTAAATGCAAATGATGAAATTCATTACATTTTCTTTTTCCACTTACAGAGGCTTTCATTTTGAGAAATTCCAGACATTCTGTAAGTTAAGAAAAAGTTTCATCTGTGTATAGGGACATGCCTATATACAGCAGATGACACCTATATAACCTTCTTGTATGCAAGTAAATTTTCAGTATTATAAACTATATATACAGGTATATTACTAAGAGCTGACTTATCATACAAATAGTCTCAAAAGATGTACAAGAAAATATAGGAAATATTTTTTCCTTTACCTGATTTTGTCGCATAATTATCATGAAATACTTAGTTTTTTGTAAGAGTTACCCGAACAGGTCACATGCTTACATATCTGCTTCAAAATGGCTTCCCTACATGCCTCATGGGCACCAGCCAAAATTTTCATGGAGTTATCTTGGTCACCAGATGATACAAGTGTGATATAGTGGAAGGAAGCCTTCCCAGGACACTGGAAGGGTCAAAACTTTGCTGGGAAGAATACTTCCCACTGCCCACGGAAGGGTTAATCTGATAGTAACAGGATAATTTTTTGAGTTTGCCCCTTTCAGACAAAATAACATGGTATATTGCAAATAATAGGCATATAAATGACCAAGAACTTTAAAAGAGTATATTCCTGGTCCTATTGGAGCTGTTTCATAAAACTTGCCCTGCTTGTAGGTGGATGTGCTTTAAATAGATCGTTAACATTTCACCTAAGTTCATTGTGTCTGGGTGAGGCTTTGAGCAATTATACATTTTCATGACACAAATTCTCTGAATGTGATCTTATGCAGATAGTGGATGAAATGGCATCATGGTATGGTTGTATATCATCCGGATGTAGTCATTTGTGATCGCAGCAGTAATATTGATAGTTAATTAGTGTAGGCAATATTTGCCGTCTCCATTGACAAGCTTCTATTGCTACAGGCTACAGACCACAAGCTATCATTGCATCCAGGCCTTGCTTTGGCAGAACCAAATTGGATTAAATTTAGGTCTATTGCAGACATATCTACAGGGTGGGCCATAAAAAACATTGGTAATCTTCATCACTCCATAGCACTGATCCCCAAGAGTTTGGTAAAATTGCAATAGTACCTCCATATAGAACATTCATTCAACTTTCCGTCATCAAGAGAATAAAGATTTGTTACATGAGTTTCATGCAGGAGTATAAAAGATTGCACACTATAAAGGTGAATGCCATCCTGGCAAGATTGTGACTGTGCAAGGAATCAGCATCACCTGAAGCACATCTTATAGAGTACTGGTAAGTGCCCTTTTCAAATGCTACCTCTGTTACACTGCACCTAACTGCATTGGAATGACAGAATGGATCTAAAATCTTTTTACATCAGTAGAAAACTAGATAAATGTTCTATATAGAGACGCTAATGTAATATTTTCAAAATCTCAAGAACTATGCTGTGCAGCATTAAAAATAACCAAATAATTTTTTTTTGCCCACCCCATACACACAGTGTAAAAGTGTTCCTTTTTTGCCACACCATTTTTTATGACCATTTCACTTAACAAATCTGCTTGAGACTCATCAGTGGATCTCAAGATCTACAAAGCCTTTAGTTATTTTGAAGTGGCCAACACCCAAGTGATGGTAGGAGATAAATTGTCAAAAATATAGCCTACAACTCACATTTTCACATCACATGACTTCTCATGGTTGCAAAATGGGCAATTAAACTGTGTCTCCAAGGGTTCAATATTCTTGCGTTTTGGAGGAGGCTTCCTCTTACTCTTCTTTTTACCCATGACACCCTATACCAAGCTCCTTCCAAGGAGCAGGGCAGGTTTGCTCAACAGCTGATGCCCTCCCAAGTCACTGGACACAATATGAATCTGTTGTGTCTAGGAAAGCCTCAAATCAGAATATGGGGTACTCATACACCGATAGAAATAGAATAATTCTGTGAGTAATAATTTCAGAGTAACTTGTATGTAGAGGTTACATAACCAAATTACCAGCATAGGAAACATGGAGCTGCCAATATTATTTTAATGGGACTGACAATAAAAAATATATTCCTTTCACATCCATATTTGTCATAGGGTCTAGTCCTAGCCTACAAAGGATACCACACCACTCAACATATTTAGCCAGCCTAATGTAAGCCACACTGAAAAAAAATAAATAAATTTGCACTAATTAAAATTCCTTTACTGACATTTTGTCTTCACAGGCCACATCTCAGGCCTACATTGGCCACATGCAGCCTATGGTTTGTGTATCACTGGTCTATGGGCTAGTATGTTTCACTCTTTTGTAGACGAACTCTTTTGTAAACGAAGGAAGTTTAACATTCACTTTCAACTTAGATACTTACTTTTTCAAACAGACACAATGACTTCCAATTGGCATCTTCCACAGGATAAAAATATTACAATCTTGAAGGCTGGCTTCAACTAGGTCACTTGAGGATACCATTTTTCCAAAATATAGTGTCTGCCTTTAAATATCATGCTTAAGAGTGAGGAACAATGAAAGGGCTGAAAGGAAGTGGCCAAGAAAGCCAAGAAAATTAATTTTAGTGCACATAGACCCTTTTTATATTTACTTGAAAATGGCAGCTTTTAGAATACATGTAAGGGGATAAACTGGTTTTCTTCACGTGTCATTTTCCCTTCCATTCCTTCAATTCTCATTGCCTAATCAAGGAGGATATCACTTTGCCCTGAGGGATGTTTTAATTCATACGGGACATGATTTGACTGCACAGGCCATCTCTAACTTCACAATATCATTCACTTACGTAGTGGGCTTCACTTACAGGCAAAGAAGTAACTCTTGCAGAATGTTAACAAGACTATGAATATGCACAAAACCTGCTCTTACATCACACTTGCAGACAAGGCCTGTATAATAGCTTATTTTCTATAAGAGTGGTAGATTGAAATTCTGTTCCACCGACGTTAAGGCCTCATTCCATTGTAGGAACATTTTAAGAACCTTTTAGACAACTGCAATGCTTTCCACTTAAGGAAGTGCCAAACCCTCCCTCTTCATCATCATAAGGCTGAGGCATGCATCCCACATCTTGGAAGCATAAACGAAATGCAGACTTAGATAATGGCTAGGCCGACTCCAGTCGCTCGACGACTCAAGTGAAAAGCACTGTTTATGTTAGGACCTTGTAAGTGGTGGCGGCCATACTGGATCACTGTGAAGTAGCAGCATCCAATGGCTCCTCATCAATATTCTCTTCTTTTTTTTCTAGTTTATTCGGGTTTAATCGGTCTGGTGGACACCTGCTTTGCACCAAATCGGTTACGTGGACACCGAGCTGGTTCATAGGCTATTAGTATTTACAAACGTAAACACCATGGAATTCCCCCTATTATGGAGGGAATGACGACGGTGAGTGTCGCAGTACCCTTGGAAGGGGGCGGATCAGAGGAGGGTAAAGTCGAACGATGTTCTCCGCAATGCAAGACAATTCCACGGCCGAACCGCAAATTTTTTTTGCCAAATTGGACGAGAACGGATGACCTCTATATTGATTTATGGGCCACGGGAGCGCGTTCACATTGATGAATTGTTCGTTAAAGCTACGTTTTAGGGGGTTAGAACCCCCCCTTGGGCTTCCCGGTCAGTGGCACTGACATGCATATTTCAACCTTCTTTGGGAATTCCAATTTTAGCTATGCCCCTTCGAGGAAAGTCTGAGGTCTGTCCACAGACCCAAGATGCCAGACCATGATTTCTTTGAAAAAGTAAATTCCGGGTAGTGGAGCTAGGCGTAGGGTTGGGGTGTCTACCTTGCCTCAATCCCCCCCCCCCCCCCCCCCCCCCCCCCCCCCCCCCCCCCCCCCCCCCCCCCCCCCCCCCCCCCCCCCNCCCCCCCCCCCCCCCCCCTGCCGATTTCCTACCTACGCCACTGTTCGTGTATGTATGTATCCATAGTTGCTTAGGCTCCTGTACGACTCCCACTCGTCACTCCGAGCTACAGATCCAGGTGCAACGTTTGCACGTATGATGAGAGTGAGGGAGAGTGTATCGCGCCGAAGGACTGGAAACATGCGGTTCTCGTGTGGGTGACCCTCACGTTTCCAGACTCCAGACATTCCCAGGGTCCACTGGCCCACAATGCTATTCCCGTAATTTTGCTTTGCAGGAGGGAGAGCGTTCCTTGGCACGAACCTGCTTAGATTGTATTTACGTCTTGGTCTTGAAAAACGATTAGGCAATTTGAATGTGCTCTCCTGGACCGGCCATTGGAGAAGCCTGCTGAGGCAAACTTCCCGAATATAATTTTGCCAATCAACAAATAAGTTGTATGCTCACTCGCCAAACAGGCCCCTCATCACCCGTTTAAAGGTCTTAATGGCGAAAGGAGCCCACGTCAAAATTAATAAAATAATGACCGAGATCCCCAATGTACAGTTTAGCCAGTGGCGGCTCGTGATATTTAGTACTAGTGGTTCGTCTATGGAGAGCGGGTAGGCAGCGCCCTCCACAGCCTACCCCCTCTCCATAGACGAACCACTAGCGCTAAATATCACGAGCCGCCTCTGTGTTTGGCCGCATCTTGTTGTCTTGACTTGCAAACTCAAGTAGCGCAAGAGTAATGAGCCATAAGCGGCCCAGGCACAACACTGGCGGATTTCTACCGTTGGCGGGAACGTGGCGACAAGCTGGACATGTAGTTGCTGGCCCGCTACCTATTGTAGGTAGGAGTTCTCCACCAGTTCAGGGTGGAGAATGTAGCTGACACTCCCCTGGATGCAGTACCAAGAGTCCCCACTAGATGGTACCCGCGTCCCCCTACAAATGCAATGAAGTACCTGCCTTTCTGATTTAGCAAAAGTGTTTCTTCTTCGTTTTTCCTTATTAAATGTGCAATTTATAAACAGGTACCAGGAAATCGTGGAATTATGATGTTTTGATTGCAATATAAGCCTCGGGAAATTATTAAATACTGAATTTAAGTATGGGAAGTCAGAAGTGTACAGGATTAGTGGAGGGTTGAGACACTATGCTCTACCAATATTTTATTATACTGTATACGTGAGGTGCCTTTATGTTCATACTGTACACTTCTGCAGAAACTCTCCCCCTCCCTGCCCCGAGGTCCTTGTTGGCTGCGGAAGAGGAGAGCATTGGGTCATCTTGGTACTTTTGAGTACTCTTCTGAGTAGGCTCCAGAGCCAAGATTTATAGATAGCTCGGATATATAAGGAGCCATTAGGACCCTTCCCAGATGGTGGTACACCACAAACGAGCTAACTGGTAATATGCTGGCCCATGAGCGGCCTGGAAGGTGGTGGGCCAGTGCTGGTAAGTGGGACATGAACCTGGTGGCCCACAACCCACGTGCTACATGGGAAGGTCACCCGACCTTGTCCCCCTCGGCGGGCACTTCTTTTCTTGCACACATTGCACCTGAGAATTGGATAGGCAGAGACTTGGGTGACTCCAGATCTCATAAATAGAGGGTTCCTATTGAACAGTGAGTATTAGCAAGGGAAGAAAAATGAACAAAGATCATGCAAATGTCCTATATATAAATAAATAAATCTGAATGCTATTGCAATTTGGAGTGAAGGTACCCTGCGGCTTCTGTTGATCGACAACTCTTGGCAACAAGCCATTTTTTTTTTTGGCCCGTGCAACTGCGGCCTCTTCACTTGAAAAAAATGCTAACTATATCTAAGATGTTTGGGTCTCGCCACCTCTGTTAGACATGCGTCGAGACCGATATGGAGGTGTATCGTCACTGACGAAGGTGTGCTTGGTTACGAGAGCTATTTAACTGCCTTTCAGCAAGTTTTCTTTCCTTGGGGCATGAAGCTGAAACTTTCCCTTTCATGGGATTGAAGAACTGAAAGCTGGTTTGCCTGGTTCTACCTTTCTCTTTATGCCTGCGTGTGTTCACGCGTGCTCATTTAATTTCATTTGGCATACAGCCTAATGTGTGCGGTCAGTGCCTTCTTTCTCGTGTCAGAGTATTGCTATGTCCCCGAGGCCGTTCAGGGAAGCTGAGTGGCTTTGGAAATGTTGGAAACTGAAGATCTGAATATGAATCCGTGATCAACCAAAATCGGGCTCAGATCCCCTCCTGAACAGTTTTTGATTTTTTATCTTTCCAAATGAAGCATCAAGGCATACAGAGACTATCGATTGATTGCCCCCCCCCCCCCGGGTAGCCACTCCTGTGAGATTTTCGGAGGAAAGACCAACCAAACCAACCAAAAAAAAGATATTGACTCCTAGATCACAAAAGTGCCTTTTTTTTGTTAGCGAGAAACTTCGGATAGGCCTAACGTTACACGTCCTCAATGAAATGGTTCGTGAAAGTCGGGCTGCTTCGCTTCGCCCTCCTTTATCTCTAAAACGTTTCAGTTCATGAAAAATTATTCATGAACAAGATTTGTACTCGAGATTCCACTCTAACCGGTTGGTATAAATATTGAAGCTGTGCTCCTTCATTTTAGTCTAAGGGTGGATTTTTGAACAGAGCATTATCCGATAATGCAGCTTTATTTCAGAGAAAATGCATTATAAATCCGGTAAATGAAGCAGTATTATCGGATAGTTCTCTGTTCAAAAATCCACCCTAATACTCCCCAAATAGGACAATTCTCAATCTCACCTCTCCCGGGAGGTCAGGCAACGTCCTGTCTCTCTCAAGCATCTCCGAAATGGCTCGTCTCATGAAACATCCTTTTCAGACTGGATTTTGTCCATTTTGATCTGAGGTATACATTTCGGAGCAGCACGTTCATATTCACGAGAGGAAATATACCTATACTGGGAGATTCAGTACCCCCAATAAACTCGGCACCGTCTTCCTTTGCGTAATATAGACATTGGGACAATATTCCGGAGCAGGGAATTTGAAACTAATTACAGTAGCGATGAAAGAAGAAGTTCAGAATAATATAAGTACAAAATTTCGTTCAGTTTCCCGGCTTGAATTTGGTAAGATTCAGGAAAAAGAAGGGCAATCATACCTCCCGGGAGAGGTGAGATTGAGGATGGTCCTATTTGGGGAGTATTAGACTAAAATGAAGACGCACAGCTTCAATATTTATACCATCGGTTAGGGTGGATTCTAGACTACAAATCTCGTCAGAAAGTGATTTTTCGTCAAGAGTGTCATTGTCGAGATGTAGGGGGAAGAGGGGCGGCGTCTGATGGAGAGGGAGATGCATAATAGAGGCATTATCCTTTGCGTGCATTTATCTCGCTTAAATATGGTCCAAAAGCCAAAAAAAATTATACCAGTGGCTAGGACAGACTCTGGTATACAAATATTGTTCAGGCAGAATTTTTCATGAACCGAAACGTTTTCGAGATTAAGGAGGGAGAAGCGCGGCAGCCCTTCGCGGTCCACTGTTGAGTACGGGAGGACGTGGCATTGTTTCCCGAACTCACGGCTCCCCGTCCACGGCCAATCAGGAAGCCCTAGCGTTGTCTGCTCCTGCGCGGAACTTGGACTCCGTATAGGCCTAACGTTACACGTCCGCACGGAGGTGTCTCGAAGACCCCGGGATCGTCTTTGTATAGGCCTAATTGGCTCCGTAAGTGGAGATTTCAGATTCTTTTGCACGAGAAAATGTAGGTTTAGGATTGACCTAAAGATAGTCCGTGGGTTAGGACTTGGCCTAACGTTAGTGAGTCCCGTAGGGAGAGAGAGGAGGGGGGCTTGAAAAAATGGAAAAAGCCTTTGAAAAGTGGTTTTCACATTACTTCATTACTCTATCATCATTCTGGTTTTTCTCCTCTCGAGACAAAGGTTGATTTCAAAGCCGCAGTTCAGTTGCAGTTGAACTATAGTCCTAAGGTGGTCCCAGTTCGGTTGCAGATGCAGTCGACTGGAACTACGACTGGACTTCGAACGGACTGAGATTTTGAAATCATTCTCCAGTTTCTGTTTGGCTGCAGTTGCCACTCGCCTCGGTTACTTCTCTGTTCAACGGTAGTCAGTTGTGGTCCTACTTCTCGTTGACCCATTCTTAACTTCCTCGTCCGATATTGATATAAAGGAATTGAAACGGTTCGACGCCAGCCACAGATCGGTGTCATGTTCGTGATTCGGTTCGTCGCTAGGCATGCGTTCCGCTGCATACGTCGCCGCTTTAGGACTTAATCGCATGCGGGGTGCTTCATAGCCACGTCTTGCGAATGGCAAAGGTGAGTGGTGTATCATCCTCGTTTCACCATGACATGACAAGGAAAAGCAAGCTGCGCCAACTTCAACCAATGATATGTATTTATTAGCTTGCCCTTCCCCTCGAGACAGTTCCCTAAGGGTGGGTCTAGTTTGAGTTCTCCATGACAGAAAAGAGGCTTGAGTCATACTAATTAGTTGGAGCCATAGTCACACTCTGGTCAGACTGAAGTCTGACTAAGATTGGACGAGGCGTCAACACAGACTCTCTCAACTGCAGTCTGACTTGGGTTCAAATGCCACATTTCGACTATTCTCGAACGAAAAACCCAACTGTAACTGTAACTGCAACTGAACTTCAACCGAACGGCCCTTTTGAAATCGACCAATGGCTAGCGTTTTATGTCAGGTCTATGAATTCACACTGAAGCAGCATGAAAATTTCCTTGCATACCTTCGGTCGCTACCCTTTTCTAACCCAGCTGCTCGTAATTTTCCTGAAGTCAGCTTGCTTCCTCACTCTTAACGGGAAAATAATCACGCACCACTGCCACTTCTCTGCTGTACCCGTTTTACATAGTATGTACATGTCTATGGTTGTACCTGCATCATACGTAAATCTTCCTTGTCCAACCTGGTACATTCCCTCCCTTCCATTGAATTTATTCCGAAAGGTCAATTTTCAATCTTTATACCAAATTCAGCTCAACCATACAGGTGTCGCCAGGAAAAAACACCAGCCTTCCCTTCAAAGTTAAGAAAGTGTGGTAATCCGCACCCAGCTAAGTTTTCCGATCAGCACCCCTATTGTGATTTTATTCTCTAAGGCGTTGAAATCAATCTATATATAGATTAGACTATACTAACGTCCAAAAGAAATTTTAGAAGGTGATTTAGAGCTCAATCGCGTCGTAGGAGTTGTGATAGCAGTATATCTGTCCTTTGCTAAACAAGTCATCACCGGTTGAACATTATAAGCGTGTGCTCGCTAACCTTTGGGCGCTGTGCACGTGCCGCGTCAGGAAAACGCCTAATTAGGTTTTCTCCATGCCATGGAATTTATTGGAACACGCTGAACTGAAGCTGGCAGAACACTTGACCTTGAGAAATGTAGCGATTCTCAAAGTTAAGTGTTCTGCCAGTTTTTATGAAGCGTTGATTCAATCCGGCTCAGGCCACACGAGCTCGTCCGAGTCGCCCCGCGACTTCCTGTTGCGTTACACCCTCCAGGAACATTTTCATCGCGCTGTCCCTTTGTTGCTGCGTTAGCCTTGGCATATCTCTGACGTTTTTCGGAGACGGGATGACATGCACAGTGAAATCACGCACGTGGCACGTGCACAGCGCTCAAAGGTTGCCAAGTAAATGCTAAAAATGTTCAAGCGGTGCTGGCTTGTTCAGCAAGTGGCAGACATAATGCTATCAAAACTCCTACTACGCGGGCGAGCTCTAAATTACATTGTAACGATTCTTTTGGACGCCAGTACATTAGCTTTGGTCGCCGGGGTAGTGCCATGTATACCAATCGTTACTCTGTTGACCAATACAGTAGGTGGCTGGTACTTTTTCATGAACCTCCAGTTCCCCAGTAAATGGGATTAGAGTTAATCTGCACTCTTGGAAGAGTAAAAATTCCTTGAAGTTGATGTTTTGTTCGATTTCAGGTTTTACCTGTAGTCTTCCTTTAGTTTTGTGCCCCAATCGCCTGAAAAACATGGAAAGATGGAGAGGTCGTGTGGCTTTGGTAACCGGTTTCAGTGCAGACATCGGAGCTGCTGTCGCCCTTCGATTGGTGTCTCTAGGTCTTCGTGTTGCAGTCTGTGCCCGATGAGTAGAAAGGATACAAGTTCATATCTTACATCCATCATCATTCACTTTCTGGTTCTCCAAATATATCTCTCGAAATATATATATACCATCGTTTTTCGAGCAGGAGCTGGCCAAGCGAGTTGAAGGTGAAGGCGAAATTCTGGCTCTGAAGTGCGACCTCACCAAGGAATCCGAAATCCACTCCATATTCCAAGAAATTGAATAGAAGTAGGGCGGAGTCGACGTGTGCATCAACAATGCTGGCTTCAGTTATAATCATACCCTCTTAGGTACAACCCTCATATGCATTCCTGGCGTTAATCTATCTTTAAGTGGATAGTGGGGTAGGGGGCAATCCATCTCTTTCTCGACTTCCAGCCCACCCGTCTACCATGGCGATGAATCTTGCATTTTCTGCCTGCATTTCCTAAACATGTATTTATAAGCGAAGACAAAAGTTCCTCGGTTATTGAACATCCCTCAACAAATTTCTGCACGGAACACAGTTATAATATTCTTAAAAACCTCTGGTTTGCGGCATACCTCCAGTCTTGCCCAAGAAAGAAAGCTACGTCCACCCATGATCCGTCCCCCACCCATAGGAATGGAAATCCTCCTGGAAGTCCTGGAATGGAAATCATCTTAGGACTTGCATGCATTCTAAATCGTGATTGGGAACTTGTAAGCTTTGAAATCAATACTCAGACATGATTTAGATGTTCGTATCAGAGGGCACAGTCGAGGAATGGAGGCATATGTGCGACATGAACTTCGTGGCATTATGTCTTTGCGCAAAACTGGCAGTCCAAAGTATGAGGAAGCTAAATGTGGATGATGGCCATATCATCAACATCAATAGGTATCATTGCTATTAGGTCCTGCTTGTCTTTTGCTCGGAAAAGTTGATGACCATCTTTCATGTAGTTTCCGATGTTATCAAATTTTCCTGCAATATTATTATAGCGGAAGGTAGGCACGGATGGTGGAAAACCAAGTAAGGAATCCTTGAAAATTTGTACTAAGGAAAAATTGGTCCAAGAGAGGTTAAAATAAAAAGAAAGTAGGATCCAAGGTTTTGGCTCAATGAACCTTTATTAAAGACTGAGAGCAGAACTGGAAGAGGAGCAGCAGGAAGACAAGGAAAGCCCAGCTTAAAAGCTTGAAATTGAATTACATAAATAATTATTTATTGAATGATATTAATATATAGGGTGCTCCAAAATTATTGAACCACTTTTAAAACTGAATAACATCGGAACCAAACCAGATAGACATTTGAGTTTTGTAGCATGCAAAAAGGCCATTCGCACACGTTCAACATCGGTGTCTGACGTACCGGACCTACTGGCACCTTTTTTTTTTATGAACCACAGTCAGTCTCTTCGAACTGCCTTGACCATCTTCGAACAGTCTCCAGGGTAGATGCAGCTCTTCAGTAGACTCTCCTCTGAACTACGTCAATGAGAATTGAATTCCGCAAGCCACCGTACACACTGCTTTCTCCTCCACAGTTGCCATTTTGAAAAACCTGACAGCTATCTTCGGATGAAAAAAAAAACTAAAAGTTAAATCTCTAGCATGCAAAAACATCAACGATCTAGCTTGTTTTGTTCCTATGTTATTCAGTTTTAAAAGTGGTTCAATAATTTTGGGACACCCTGCAATAATATATACAGTATATATTTGAAATTTTAAGACAAAAATGAACATTTCAAAAGGAATTTGATGGTAAAATGCATGCAATCAGGAGACCATGTTCTTCAACAATGAGGCCTTCAGTGAATCTATCTACCAAGCGCCATCTCGTATAAATGTAAAATTTGGAAGGACACGCTTTTCAAGAGATGATATGCATAGTCTTTTGTAACTCGTTAAAAATGGTGTGATCCGAAAACTGCCCGTAGGGTCTAAAACTTCCAGCTGGATGGAATGAAGGGACAGGTGTTACGTCACGCAAGAGCGTCCGAACGGGGACGTGTCCAAAGTAATTACGGGAAGTTGGGGCGAGGCACGATTTCCCAAATGTTTCTGCTCAGTCGGAACGAGAAAGCAAGAGGATGCTGAAGATACAGAAGTTTCGGGAGAAGAGTGAAGAATTGAAAAATCGGACGTCTTGACGGTTTTGAATTGGGGAAGGGAGGCGGGCATATTGAGCAAACAGACTGAAGACGGGAGACTTTCGCCTAGCTCTTGAATCTCCCTAATTTCTCCATTCATTATGTCCATGTGCAAAGAATACACCACACCTTCTTTTCATCCAAGGCAAGCCGTATAAAAGAGCGTCTGTTCAAATTCAAATCGGAACATGGCCTCCTAGGGGCGTGAATCCTATAGGAAACCTGTTCAAATTCAAATCGGAACGTGTCCTAGGGGCCCGAATCCTATCATCAATTTTTGGGTCCTGATTTCTTACATATATTTTTGAACATTCAAGATATTCTATCTTGCCTTTTTCAATACTTTTCCCTTACCTATACTTCCTGATTTTCTGTTGCCCTTAAGGCTTTCCACTCAGTCCGATGAAAGCTCATTGCTCAAAAAACTTAACTCGTGAAAACTCGATAGACCTCCTTATTTTATAGTTTCTCTGACCGAAATTTTCACTAACTTTAAGTCTGTCAGTGTTTTTAAGTCTGTGTCGTGCTTTGTAGCATCTCCGGCCATCGAGTGCCTCCTACAAGAGTAGTCCATTTTTATTCGGGCAAGGAGTTTGCTGTAGGTGCTATTACGGAGGGTCTCCGAAGGGAGCCGCGGGATCTCAAGTCACACATTCGAGCTACAGTAAGGTCTCCCCACTTTCAAATGTCAAGATACTCTCTGATTCCCCATGTCAGCAATGGCTCGTGTCCCACAGAAAATCCGTCCTGGACTTGTTGAGACAGAGATGGCATATGTTGTGGATCCCGAGAGGGCGAAGACACTGTACTGCAGCATCAAGACACTCCAGGCCGATGACATTGCTGATGCAATCATCTTTCCCTAAACTCCCCTCCTCACATGGAGGTAAATTGCATTTCTCGTGGAATCCCCACGTGGCAGGATCTTGACAGGTCCTGATCGTGCAATCTTTCAGTGGGGTATATTGAACGTTGTGCTCTTTTAGGTGAACGACATTTGCATCCGCCCCACCAGATGCAGAGAAATGGAAGAAGCTGACTCGATGCATGAGGTACCGGTGCTTCCCTGTTCGGTCTTTCCCTCGTTCATGATGCTAGGTTTTTTTAAGTTTGCATGCGGGAAAAATACCAAATGGACATCAATAGGTGATCAGTTGAAATCGAAAGAAAATGTGACGATCTGCTTCTTAACAATTGCGCCAGAGGTTGTCTGTAGATTTGAGAAGTTTTCTTTGTTCCAGCTATGAAACTGGTGCTATCGTGCCAGTTAAAGTCACTCTCGTGTATGCATGCCACTGTGACGGGATCTACTGTCTTACAGTTTGTTTTAAGTTCGTTATGTGGTGATTACAAAGTCTGCATTACAGTTATTATGGCTATTATGATTACTATTGTAGAAGTACCAGTTGAATAAGCCTATCATGTGTTTGTTGGTAAGATGGAGTGATGCCATAATTATGGCCGTGTTGTGCATAACTATCCCTACCATAACGGTACTAAATCCGATCAGACTGTCTGACTTGCAAAAAAAATTCAAATTTAAATTTCTGCATTACTTTCCTGTATATCAACATACAGTACCGTACAGTATTTTGTTTCATGAAATGCACATCCTTCATACCTTCAAAGGAGTTACACGATACCGGGGATTTGTACTGGCATGTAACATTGACACATAAACGCATACACAGATACACAGCAACAACAACAACGATGGGGCTGCACATACTGTGAGATGGCCGAACAAAAACGATCAGGAATTCACTGGCATGTGTGGATGCTCATCCGTAGCACCAGTGGAACCATCGTAGCTTTTCTCAAAGCGCACCTCTGAGGTGTTTCAACACCCGTCTGTTCCGTTCACTTGCACGTGTGGATGCTGACCTGGCGCCGACACGTTTTGCACTCCACGTAGCAGCACCAGTGGAACTTACACTTGCAGCGTTCTTCCAAGTATATCTGTCGGGTATTATAACCTCGTCCACAGCACAGGATGTCGCATCCGTCTGTCCCCAGACTGGTTCGGTTGCATCCCCGCCCTTCCGTACCTTGGGAAATTACACGAGAGAAAAACATATTCCATTTACCAAATGAAATGAGAACTGGCTCTTCAGCACATATATGACTGTATTGTTTAGAGAATCCCTGCATCGCCATCAACATCAAAATTAAGGTACTGGTACACGGTAATTTGAAAATAAGATTGGATACACTCAGGGCAAGCCCTAGCTATTTTGGCACCCTGTGCAAAGAGACTCCCAACGCCCCTCCTCCCTCCATCCCACCCACCCACACATTTTGAGCAGGACAGGCTTCCACCTTCTGTAGTAAAACTAAGGTGGCATCCATTATTGCTTCGTTCATTCGGTCGCGTTTTACTGTCCCTGGTGATCATGCGTCCTGTGCTGGGGCACGTGTAGCACTTGTCTAAGGCCGGCCCTGGATACACATCCAAGTGTAACATCCAAATTAGTTCTTCACTTAATGATGCTCCTAAATCCTTAGCATCAAGTGCAAGGAAGCTTCGAAATTATATTAAAAGTTCTCATTCACAACCAAATCAGCATGCTTTGTGAAGCGCTAGGAAATGATTTCATCGTTACTAACAGAGGAATGGGTAATTGAGATAAGGGTTGGATGACTGACCGAAGGCTCCTATGGTGTCATTCTTGTGACAGTAATCGGGGGGATCGTCCATGTAGACGAGATCGTAGGCCGTGGGAATGGAAAAGGTAGGGTCTGCAACTTGAAGTTTTCCCCTCCGATTCACCTTCACCTTCGTCGCCCCGTCGTACTTGTCTTTCAGGTAATCTCCTAGGGTACAAATCAATGGTTGCCTTCAATAAAATGTCTCCTTGCTGTAGAACCAGCTACGAAATAGCAAGGGCAGGATATCTGTCTGCGACCAGGGCCTTTTAACCCACTCTTCGACTTCCGGCCATAAAAGAGCGCCTTTTTAGAACCACGTTTTCCTTGGCTGAGATTTATGCAGGGTCGGGAGTTTAATGCGAGACCCTTAAAGGTTGCAAATGAGCTTCATTCAAAGCCAGCTTATGACCACGATCACGAACTTGTGTCGACCGGTCGGTTTCCGCATGAAACAAACGTTAACTCATCACAAAAGAAAATTCCAAAATCAGCCCAAGGGAAAATTCCAGAAGGTTGTTTTACTAATTGCGCTTGCTCTCACGTGGGTGGAAAGCAGGAAGATCATGTTTCGCTATTCCATCCACATTTTTAGGGTTGTTTCTGATTATCCGGCTGATTTACGATCAGGGACAGCTCTGATAGGCATATATCTGATGTACCCCTTTGATGGAATGGGCCAACAGGTTCCCTCATCCGTCGACGGTGGTGATCCGACAAATCGCATTTTCCATCCGTCCAAGGCTGTTTAGTTCTGTAACCTGTCATTTCACTCACCGATTTCCCTGAAGGATGCGAGCTGTTGCCAGCACGTGATGAGGCTGCACGAACCGGAGACCCCGTGGCACTTACATGTCACTTTCGTCTTCTTCACTACCGCCTGAGAAGACAAACAAAACGTAAATATTTAAATAAATCTACTTGTCATTTTCATGAATTCATTAGTTTTTCAACTTTTAATATTCCACGATTTTTATTATTAGTTCATTTGATCATTTCCAGCTTTCGCAAGAACACACTGCGTTTTCGGGTTAACTTGAACTCTTCCTCTCTTTCCCTGGCTCCGTTGTCAACGGTGCTCGAGAGAGATCTAGTAATTGCAATCGTCATTCATGACGAAGGCGTGTAACGGTGAGTGAAGTTCATTGCACGATGGCCCTTCCTGAGCAAGGGAACTGCTACTTCACAACTCGACGCTAGAGCCCATGGAACGAGACAGAGCTCGTGTAAATGGCGGTAAAATCAATCCGAAAACACTGTAGAAGGCTTTGAGAAGAGACTCATGACATGAATGCAATTCTTCGCAAGTATGCAGTTCCAATAGGGCTGTTGAGGGTCGGCCTATCTATTATGTGAGGTTTCCCGCAGTCATTCACTCCTTTCACTGTGAAAGAGAATGGTAATCCTTTACGAAGCCAATGAGGGCGGAATGCAGTAGACAGTAATTGTTGGCCATTCTCAGAATGATTGTCCTTGCCCTCTTCGTGATAATTCAGCGTTGCTAACGCCCTCCCCGGGAGCCTCGGCCGGGGAAATTGGGAAAAGAACGAATTTCTCTCGACCTGAGACAAATCACTCCCATTTACGACTCGCTTGATGGAGAACTAATTTTTGGCTCTTTCATTGTTTCCACCAAACGTGTCGGTATTAACAGCCGTATGCTGGCGCTACACAAACACTAGTTCGGCTGTGACGGTATCAGTTGGGAAAAAAAAAACTTTCCCCATCGACCCATTTTCTATCTTCAGCCTCTATCTGTGGTGCGTGGTTAGACTTTTCGACCTGGAAAGATCATCGCGTCGAGTCTCTGGAAATCGGCGTTTCAACACGCGCAGCGGGGAGGCGTGCGTGTTCACGCCGCTTCCCTGTATTTTCTCGATCTGTTTGTTCGGGTCTCCCCTAAATACAAATACAAAAGGCGGTCGTTGTTTCCCTCCAAAAGCCGCGAACCTCAGTTGCGAAAAGGCGACAAAGCGGGCCATTGTGAATGTCCCCGTGATGGATGAACGAGTCCTTTCGTGTCTCATTAATCTTCTCCTACCTATTCCTTCCTTGTTAGCTGCAACTGCACCTGAGTTCATTAAAAGATATGGCCTCGGTTCCACAAAAATTCGAGCAGAATAGGCTTGATTTATGAACCGCGATCTCGTATCCCTCCGGGGTGCCTTTCATCTCGCATGCCCCTTTATGTAAAAACGCTTCCGTGTAACGCCTTGAGCACCCCTAAATTTCGGATTTTAATTTCGGTCTGGAATTATACATAACAAGGGCGCCACGTAGAGGCAGAAGGTGCAGTATGGAGGTGAAACCGTACCCTTCTGCCAGCCTCGTTGTTATGAAGGTTCATGAGAACCCTTCCTTGTTCATGGGAGCCTTTGTCATGCTTCTTCTCCTTCTCTCGCACGTCCACGAACTCTTGAGCGAACCTTGAAATTAAGCATAAAGAAGAAAAAACCTTGGAATTCAACGTCTGGCATGCATTTGTCATGAACTGGTTAATTGGACCTCCCCGTTCTATCAAAACATCAACGTGCCTTCAGCTTGCTCGGGCTTCTTTTCTTACTTAAAATTTTTTTTTCCAGTCTCCCTCATCTCGATTTCATCACGACTTTTATGACTGGCGTCTGCCTCTGCCGCTCATTATCTCTGGAAGACGCTCCAAGGTTAAGCTCAATGGGCATCGGGCTCTTTGCCCGCGAATTAAAGAAGAATGTGAAAAGAAACTTACATCCATAAAGTTTGTAAAAATCAAAGGTAGCCGCGAGTGCGATAAAAGAGCGCATCCATTCATGACTGTCATAACAAGGGATTTCAGCTGGAGAGAAAAAGTGGATTAGACTTATCATCGTTAAAAATAAGCCTAAAAAGTAAGTAAACGCCGATGCAATCAGTAAACACAAAAACAAGATATGAAATATTCTTTTTTTTTAGAAAAATGAAATCGACGTTTGCTTCAACAAAAAAAGATTTAGGAAGCAAGAAAGACTAAACGGAATGAATTTGAAACGAGCGAAAAGAGTACAACTCGTAAAAAGTAAATGATGGTCTTTGAAGAGAACGAAGAAAGTGATGACAGACTTGTATCCGTATTCGATGTTGTCACCACAGCCACCCCAGATCCAGTCCGTGTTGAGATCCATGGGTCTCCTGGCCCTGGAGCAGGTGCACGTGCTCAGTTCCCCGTCCCGACACGCTCGGGACACGGCATGAACCACTCCCGACGCCGCTATCGCGTGGGCGAACGCCGCCTCGGGACTCGCTACACGAAGCAAAAGGAATCCACGTCTCAGACATCAAAGGTCCGGCCATCAATATCTGCAGTGGCTGGCAGATAATCGAGCCGGTGTCGTGGCTTTATCAGATGAAAGCGGTAAAATGCGTCTCCGTCACCCGTATTTGTCCCCACCGGCCGCAGCCTTGCACCATCTAAATTTAAAAGTCTTCCCGATCGTTATCTCTTTGAGAGGAATTTCTACGAAAGGCTGACTAGGATGTCTTGTTCAGCCCGTCCCACGTTTTCTTTCTCTCCGGGCAATAGATTTCCAGCGCGAGTTAAAAATTGCCCTGCAGTGTGCATGCATCTGTCTCTTTTTCCAGCCACAAAAGTGCACAAGTCTACAAAACAAAAACACCGTGGAACAGCCGGGCAATAGCAAACAGTCATAGATCCGATAGTTTCAGACCAGATTGTTCGCCTGAGAAAACAAAAGCGTCATGTTATCCATTCACGTTTTGGGCCATATGCACAGGCTTCGACTAACACCAACATAAAGTTAACGATGCTAACTTTATTCATACTTTAAAATCGACATTAGTATCGTACTAAGGTCAGCAGCGTGTTAGCTGAGGCTTGTGCATACGGCCCTTTATTTTTAAATTTGGTGAGAGGAATTTTTTTGGAGAAGATCCAGCATTCATTGTTTGCTTCATTGTGTTCGGATCCCTTCTGTATCTGGATGGCTTACAAGCGTGAACAATCCGTATCTCGTCATGAAGAGCCGGAATAATAGACTGACGCTGTGTCGACTGAGGAGACGCAATTCAACAATGGGGTGTAAGGGGGCGCTCGTAAATCCGCCGTTCCTTCCAACCGTTGTTATAGGTTCATGAAAAGAGGGGGGTCCAATGAGGTCCATAAAATATGGAAGGGGTTGTGAAGAAGAGGCTGTAAAAATTCGTCCCCGTCTTTTGTGTCAGCATCCATCTCCGGCTATCACATCAACGTTAACAACTCTCTCTCTCGCTCTCAGCATCACTTTGTCGGAATAATAAACCGTAGCACGAAGTTTCGTGCCATTCTTCCTTTCGTTCTTGGAAAATTTCGACATCTAGATGCCCTACATATCGCCATAAAAGAAATACCACTGAAAACGTGTCTGCAGCAAGCATGCTAATCCCCAATTATTATGCTGATCAGCAAAGGCGTTCTTGTCATATTTATGATTCTATTGCACCTTTACCTAAATAGTCTGCCATTTCCAGCGTCACTTTAAAAAATAATAATAATGAAATTTATCAAACTGCCGGCTTATTCATTACGAACACCCGCGAAAGGCACAGATGGACCCGACATGTTCTTGTAATCTCTTTCATGAATTTATGTGGCATGGATCCGGATGAGAAATTAAAATAATGGCACGACAGAGACGTACGGCCTGTACGGACCCTGTAATCTCGAGCAATGAGTTCGAAATGAGCTTCTATCCCATACTGAGAGCGATTCGCGATAGAGTTTTTTTTTTCAATCTCAGATTTAAATCCATAGCCCTGGAGCTTCTAGGGGATTACGAAACGTCTGAGGCCGCCCAACGAGAGCTAATTGAAAATGGACAGTTGATGAAGCAATAAGACTGTCTCATGACCGATGATTGACTCCTTTCCTTTCGATGAATCCCTGGTATTATACGTATTCGTGGCTGGCCGAAATGACGTAACGCTCTTCTTTTCATCCCCCGCGGGTTAATCATGCTTCCTCTGGAATTGGTTTCATGAACCGTTTCGGACGAGGAGATTAGAATTCGTATATACGTATTGGTACTTGCATGGATGCGGACAGGTGTGTAGTGGTGGCAACTGCCAATTACAGCCCCATCCATAAGTCAGGGTGTCCCTGGAGGCACCTCCGGTGGTCCTCGGCCACAAAAATCCTTCCCCGTCTACGTGACATGACTTAAAAGAGACTCGGAATCGGAAACACCCGCGATTCACAGATGCACAGGAATTAATTGTAGGCAATTACAAGCAATTAAGAATAATGGAGGCGGATAATGACATGCATTGGAGACCTCGTTTGGGACTAGGGGGAAATGAATAACATCGGATGGCCCCTTTGTCAAGAGAAAAAAAAAATTATTGTATCCTGCGGGTCATAATAGTATGAAGAAAATGAGGTTCCGTCAATAGGACGGAAGAGCTCGTATGAATCAGAGACGAGGCAATCCCAGTCCTCTAGGTTTTTCCACAATTATTCTGTCGTGCCCTTTCCTCTTCTTGCATGATGATTCTTCCCACGTAGCTGGTTTGTGACTCACCGATCTGTAGAAGCGGCCCGAAGACGGAGGAGTCGTGGACTGTAGAGCAATTCCATCGTCGGTATTGGAATTGATGTTGACATTCAGAAATGCCGGTCCGGGCCCCACGTCCCACGTGACTCATGTGGTCTTGATATAATTGACACAAACGGGCCTGGCCCCGACTCAGTCCCGGAATTCTTGTGCACACAGGCTGCATTCCGATTGCCTTTACCTCCACTCCATTCTCCAATACCTGGTAGCCTTGCATACCCAGATTCCTGCACAAAAGCATATTTTGTTGTCAGCAATCAAAATTGAAAAGGAAAGAAAGCTGGGCAAGCCTAGTCCAGTCTCCTTTCACTCGTCATCATAACATTCACTTATCAAAATGCAGTCATATTCTGAATCTCGACCACTACAACATTCATTTATGATTTTTTCATTCAAGTGATATCTTTCCACAGTCAATCGTCCCTTGGGTAGGAGGTTGCATTCCGCCGAAGAAAGGAGGTACTCGCAAAACAAGCGACAATTTTGTCAGCCAGCCAATATATTATACGAACCCCCTCTGCGCGCAGTTTCTTGTCACTTTATCATCATGGACATTTTAAAACGAAACTCATTGCCTTGATTTTAGTACTAGACCTACCACTACCAGCATGTCAAACTTCATCGCTCAACTCAGTTTCCGAGCACATTTGGAACATGCATCCAGTCATCCAAAACGGCGAACCACACTTTCCGCTTTCGCTTTTACACAACTTGGGAGATAAACTGAGAAGTACAGGCGTTGGAATAGCGGTGAAGTGGTGCGAGGACAGGGAAAGAAGTGGGAGATCCTTGCCTATTCATCCGAACATCCATTCTTTTTTAGCCGACAATACACGGCCGGTAGTTCATGCATGAACATTTTCTGTCTGTGTCTAACACGAAGTTCACCAAAAGTAATCCCAGACGATATTTGCTTGCGTATCAATTACCACGACGATCATGTCAATTTAACTTTAATTTTCGTCGTATAAAGCAATTGGGAACAGATGAGCAGATACCAGAATAATACAGAATAACATTGAGAAAAGACAAGTTTGGATATCATTCGTCAAAAGTCACCGTTTGAGTCACTATCTCGGAAAACTGGGGTAGCTGTAGGGCAAGTCTTGGGGGGGGGGGGGGGAAATCTTATCTTTTTTCTTTTGCCCTGCACCCTTCTATTACATGTCTGTACCTCAGGGCTGAGATCGCGCCGTTACTTATAATTGACGTTCCAAACTTTAAGGTACCGACCTCACTTACATGAAAGAAGCACCTAAACGGCGCCAACACAGAAGTTTTACAGACGTTTCAGAATCCTTATAAGTGAGGTACGCGAGGATGAATTTTTTGCATCTGTATCCATCGGTCCATTGTCAATCCTTATCCTCACATTTTGAGGAAAATCTACCCACACGTGCAATCCATCCTCATTAGAAGGGAATAAACGTGGAGTCCGGAGTTGTGCATGTCACAAACCAGTTCAGCACAATCTGATATGGCTTCTTAACAGCGATATTCCACAAGCCTCATACGCAATACTGGTGAAGTGATAGAAGGTCACAGTGACATATTTTCAATTGAGCGCTTGTTCACATCCGTGTCCTCATTTCGCATGCGGAAACCGATTAGTGGCAAACCTCTGGCTGCATCTGTATCACATTCCTCGGCGACATTCTTGCTACTTTTGGAAGACCATGCATGAAATTAAATGTACTGAGAGATGATGGCGCGAGAATGAAATGAGATGCCCGTGGAGACCACACGCGAGTCACTATGCGTGCATGCATGGATGTATTTAAAAGTAAATGAATGAATAAATGATATGTAGACACTGTACGAGCCCTATACATTCGTAGCATTACCGCCACCCTTATTTTGTAACACAAAAGCTCGTTCCAAGTTGTGAGGGAAGAGAATTAATTCTCTTTGGAGAAGGGACAAGAAAGAAATTCTTGGCCAAATCCAAGCCGAGCTGCTAATGGCACAGGAAACGTGGGGCAAGTTTCAGGGAATTGATGGGAGCCACTGGAAGGATTCCGGAAGGAGGAGGAAGGGCATTACTCTTTTCCTACCCGACGTTTATGGGTCATACATACGCCCGTTCGAAAAGCGGAAGCGCTCGCATTCGGTCGCTCGATACTTCCATCATCGTTTTGGCTATGTCGTTCAACCGGGAATGTGTTTGATCGTGGAAGACCCCTGATCCGATTTTCAGATGGCAGACATACAAGTGGTATGGAGCACCGTAGGACAGAGAGAAAAAGATGTTTGAGATACATCGGACATGCATGAGCCCATCTATCTCTGTCGCACCGTTCTGACAATGCCAGGGATTGTTAGAGAGGACGTCCCCGCATGGGCACTAAGTGCAGTACGTCGTAGAATGAATCACACGACCCGTAACCCCAACGACGGGTCACGCGTCCTCCCCCTCAAGAAAAGAAAACATTGGACCCGGATGATATTTATATCGCGGTGTCGGCATGACCTAGCATGTGGGCCTGCGGATTTATTAGGATCCGTACGCGAGGGAAACGATGGCACTGTATACATCGAAGGAGCATCTGCTCTTTTTCGTCCAGGACCACACCGGGCTATGGTAGGAATAAACATGCATATCCGAATGAGTGCGTAATTAGCGGCAGTTGAGACTCGGCCGCAAGCGACCAATTAAAATGCTCCGCCAATTCGTCTGCGGCTTTTGAAAGGGAAGCATGGGGGCGGAGGAATGCATAAGTTTCTTCCGATCGACCTTAAAAACCCTCGTATTTAGTGCTTTACTCCATGCCTGTCCTCGAAGCGAAAGGAATCAATCATCGGATGAACGAGAGCAATAGCATTCAATCCCACCCACGAATATTGCATCACCTCCAGTACAGGCCCACCTTCAAAACTGGTTTGGTTCGTAAATCAGCGGACGGGATGTCATGCCGTTAATGAGTCCCCATTTAGTATGTTTAGACGCCTACTTAATTCCAAACGCCAGCTCGTAATACTCGTCCTCCTGTTTTTGCTTCGGTCTCTGCGATTCTTCTTCCCCCCCTCCCCTCCTCCTTTGCCCCTGAGAGATTTCTCTCAGTCTAATGGGTGCACACATTTCCTCAGAGGTCACAATGCGCTATCCGTAATGGCCCCTCCATCTCCTCCCATTCATTTCTAATGGGATTCCCATGAATTATCCAAACCCACTCCACTCTCGACATGAAAACATTTGAATCCAAAACAAGAATACAAGAGAGGTAGCTTCCCTTCATAGAGGAGGAGCTATATGGAACTCTCTATCTGATGCTGTTTTCTTTCCTTTGACGCCGAAATGTCAAAAGAAGCACATACTCTTATATGCGCTCCGGCAATCAGCAATAGTAAGTGCTGTCGCTTTCTCCAGGAAATTAAATTAGAAGAAGGAAAAGAAAAAAGAATCCCTCTGAGAGGCACCTGGCGACAAAACCCTTACGATCAAAATCCCCACGACCGAAAAGAGGAAGGAACCTCATTCGCAGTATCTGTTCACAAGGGTCAAGGGGGAGCTGAAGCCTCATTCATTTTGGCTCGATAAAAAGAGAGAAGGGGGAAGGATTTATGCCCCTCTCATGCATAGATATACCCTCGCGATATCCCCTTACCAAAGCAGATAGGCCCGTATCCCATGTCTCCGAGGAGGTGGCTGTCCGTGTGCCCATTCGGGCATCGCCTTCCTCGATGAGTGAGCCTTAAAGAAGGAAAAAACTCCTGTCTGGGAGGACCGGAAATTGAACGTCACCTCGCAGTGGGAGGCGATAAGTAAATAAATGACGGGGACGGGATCAATTCATCATAACGCAGTGTGTCTCGTCGGATAAACATCTCGATCTGTTGCCGACACGTCATTAGGAGGCATAATTGGGATTGATGAATGAGGAAGTACGGCCTCCCCCCCTCCTCACAGCCAAAACAAACATGGCAAGTTTTCTGCATTCAAGGGGCTCGTCTGTCGATGACCAAGTGATTTATTTACATTTCAGTGAGGCGCGGATCATTTTCTGGGATGTTTTCACTTACAGCCAGGATCCTGGGGTGAAACTGGCTTGTCCGAGATGGAAGAAAGAAAAGAAGACTAGCGGAAACGGAAGCAGCAAGTCTTCCCGCATGTTCCTCGTCGCCAAAAGACACGATTCGTCTAATGAAACGCCTTCCCCTGCAGCTCCTCCACCTCGCCACAACGATCCATCTCACCCTCCTGCAAAGAGAAAAAAAGGTAGGCCTCGTCAAAATTCCTGCGCATCGAGTGATTGATCACCGGTTCAATACTTTAATGAAGACACGATTGGGAACTGGGGAAGAAGGCCTTGCTCTCCTCAGAGCTCCGTAAAAACCAGTTCTTGGTAGAAAATCCCCAAGAATTTTCAGGGCATATTGATGGTTACTAATTTTCACATGAAAGAGGAACGGTATTAAGAGGGAATGAATATCTTCCTTCCTCTCACGACAATCTTCAAAATGTGTCGTGAGAGGAGGGTCGTGTCGAAATTGTCCGAATTCTCTCTTCACGCCTGGCCTGTCAGACACGAGTTCTCTCTATCTTCAAGATGTATCTCAGTCCCAACTGGATGACGCAATATACTTCTTACCTCTGCCCCAGATCGTCCCTTTTTGGAGATAGTCGATTCATCTTACAGCCCCGGAATTGAATCCTTGAGGCGTAATCCGAATAAGGTAGGCAGACATTATTAAGCAAAAGGAGTAGCCGTGAAAACAAATTGGGCTTGAAAAAAGCGGCAAGGGTTTCATCATTCAAAAGGAAAGAATTCCGCAACTTTGCCACTTCTGTTTTTGGTGGATGAAACGAATTGAAAACAAGCAGAACAACCAACAGAAGTGGTTTTTTTTTCTTCCTTTACGTAGTTTCTTTTTTGTCCGCATGTTGTTGAGAGTAAAAAGAAACATGTATACAAGGAGGTGGGGGGGTTGTGGGATTGGAGCACGTCCTGTGCGGGGAAATGAGATATCCGCTTCTCATCTCGATCCCCCTGTCACCCACCCACTCATTTCGGACGTCAAAATGGAAATGCCTGAGCACGATCACGGATTTTATGACCCCCAGGGGAAAACTCCTCCAACTAATCCCCCACCAGCCATTCAAGGTAGTGAATTCAATCTCCTGCAGCTCTTAGGGAGGGGATCCGGTGCATTCAGGTCATTCCCAATTTCCCCGGCAGGGATTCGGATCGATCAGAACCGGATCAGTCGAAGGAGTCAGTCACCCGGGGATATAGGCCCCGTAACTTGTTTGATGATATAAATCATCGTCGGCACACGTCGATATCGGATGCGTTTAATCATCGGCCTGCACGTGCAAGGCTTCTCCGTATCTTATATGAGATGGATGCTGGAGCTCGTGCTCTTGTTACTGATCTATCGGGTAACGAGGAAGCCTCCAATCAAAAAAGCATTTGCGTCCCATCATCCCAGCTTGCTCCCATTTCAGCAATCTCTCCAGATCCCCAAAGCCTTACAGGCTCATGTTACATGCTAGGTCCTGAATGAGACGAAATCAATCATCTCTCTCGAGGACGAAATGGCGGTATCAGGAATTAGGATGTCGATCGCCATCTTTGGGCACAAAGACCATTATCTTACTAATCATATGGTCTGCCCCTGCCACAAACGAAAATTCCAGTAATTTCAATATGTAGTTAGGTGTTGCTTCGAGCCTCCTACATGGCTTGTGATGGTATTTTGCCTTCTATCCGGTTGTTATAGCAGACCCTCTTCGATTCTATGATCACCTTTTTCCCCGGAGCTTCTCTTTGTCCCACGAACCTATAATTGCAGTCAACAGTACAAGTGCTTGCCAACCGCACTGCGGTGCGCAGAGCTTGTCAAGATTAATCACTTGCACTGCTTTCGTGATCCTCCAGGGAATTTCCCTGGCTTGTCATGCATGAATTCCACCATTTTGACTGGAGACGAGACGTATGGAATGCAAGACTGGACTCGATGCATTCCAGGAAATAGAATTCGTGATCGAGCTCTCATCCTCTGAAATAGTTTTCCCCTTTCACAACCCAACTGATATAAGCTTTTCCGCACCGCATTTAACATGCATATTACATTTATCGAGGAATTGACATAACGTTTGTTGTTCCCGATGGAATTTTCAGAGACCAGTTAGAACCGGAAGTGCAAATAAATAAGGGAATATTTCGAGTAGTCATTGGTTAGTGATGGGTCATTATCACCTGAAATGACTTCGTCCATGATCTCTGGATTCGCAGTCACATCACACGATGAAACACATAACGTCACACAGTCCGAAACGTATATATCGCACGTATAGTACGCACACACAGAGATAGAATGAGGTGGAAGTCGGGGAGTGGAGTGATGCGAGGACACGCCGGGGCAGCCGAGTAAGAGACGATCCGAGAGTTTCGATTGGCTGGGATCCCAGACCCCCCCGTTTCTCATTGGCTGCCGGTCGCGGCTCAGCTTCCAAGGGAAGTAGAAAAGAAAAAGATTGAATAACTGGAAACAACGAGGAGGACATAATAGGCCTCTTCCATACCGGTCCCTGCCCATCATGTTGTATACGAACGACCCTTTGAATAGATGATACATCGAGAGACCCTTGCCGATGAAAAGGAATCGCCGTCTCATTCCACTCCATGCAGAGAGGGGGGGAAGAATAAAAGAGACCGAAATACTCCCCCCTCCACTCGTCACCTTGCATTCACGGCCACTGAACATGCGAATGGGAGATGGTGAACCCTATGTGTTGTTTCGTTAAGTTTTGATAGCTTTCAAACGGTTTCGCTTCCGTCCATCGGCTTATTTTTCATAGTTTTAACATTGAAAGGCCTATTCATCTCACGAGCGGCTGAAATTTCCCTTGCGGGTATTTTCGGTCTCGGCTCGTCGGCTCTGACGATTTCCTCAATCCCGGAATCCCAAGAACGTCGGCGGAAGCGTCCGAAAAGAACGAATTTCATATAGGGCAGTTAGCAGGGCAGTAGCTCTGGGTGGAGAAGAATGGGGAGAGAACGTGAGTTGATCAATGGTGGGGGGAATGCCATCAGCCCCCTGGTGTGTCTGGATCATCACTCATCGCACATTCATCTCATTCACACCTCCGAAAGAAAGAAAAAGCCTAAGCTGGAAGCTCTCCGAGACACATTCGCATCTACAGCTGCATGCGACGTAATTCAAGCTTCTTTTATCCCCCGGCTCCAAAACCTATTTCTCGTGTGGATTTAGTGTCTCATTACAGCGCCTCGTCTCGTATGACGTTTTCTTGCCAAAAAAAGTTTTAAAGTGTCGATATCCGAGATCCCAACTCCGCAGAGTTCATTATGCCGAGTGTGTGTCTGGCTTGCGACAGTGTTGAAGGTCAGCTTTGCTGGCACGTTTTGACCTTTCACGGGGGCGTGCACGACCTTGTCAACTCCACCTTTGTCCCCGCAAGTACCGGCACCAAAACGACCGAGTCCCGGAATCCCCTTCCTCCTTTGTTTTCCGAAGCGAGGATTAATTTATCGTCCGATCGGAAGATAGCTTCGATGACCTTTATGAGGGCAGTTAGAACCGCCCGTATGGCAGGCGACCATCTGTCGAAATTTCAGACATGAGGCAATCGAGTGGGTGTGTAAGGAGGGATCGACTTCCCATCAAGAAGCAATTCCTCTCATGATAAATTGTCGACCACACAAGTCGAGGCTCTTCATAACTGCGAGAGTGTGGCTCTTACTTAATTAAGAGGCTTTTTAAATTTTATCTCTATCTTCATCGAACCTGGGGGGTAGGGGGAGGGGTGTGTGCACTGTTTCCATGTTTTTTTATTTTTATTTTAAGAGCACACGACATGCTATGTCTTTAATTACCCGCATCCAGCAGTCAGTCGCATCTGCTTTTTTTTCGTATTCCGCCTCTGCCACAAACAGGAATGCGCGTAGTTGTGACGTAGGCGGGGCACAATTATAATTAGGCTCAGGTGTGGAAGAATCAGGGCCCCAGCTGAGAGAACGTGCAATTCGAGTCACAGCAGGGGTGAAACAGACGGCAATGGCATTCCCGAATGGAAAATGGAATTCTCTTCGTGATCATTATATCCAGCTTTCGTCTGCCAGCTGAGACCCCGGATTTCGCGACCGGATTCGGCTGGTGCGAAACGGGGAGGGGAAAGGACCCACAAAGACCCACAAAGACCCACCGTTTCTCGCCTGCGAGGGAGGCCATGTCTCATATGTAACGAGGGGGAATCCATATCATTAGCATTAAGTTGGAATCAATTTTTCTCTCCATTAGCCATTGATGGATGGGGAGAAATGACGGGGTGGTCTCTCCCATTACAGATTGTTTAGCCGCTTCCATTATTACAGGCTCCCGACTGATGAATGAGGAGGGACCTCCTGCCTCATTCCTATATTACCTTGCACCAATTTTTTCTTTCCGATGCCACTCCTCGATTCTGCATTCTCGCGCGAACACCCGTTCTGTCTCTTGTCGCCCGCAGTCGCCATCGTCGCACATCGTCGCACATCGTCTTGTGTGACAGGTTCATCGTCTCCCACGACGCGTTCGACAAATTAGCACTCGTTTCATTCCGGTCGAATAGGTTTCTTTTTTTTCGGCAGAATAACATTGGACACGTTCGACGGCTTCTCGAGTGGGCTTGACTGCTCCCTTGACTGGACCTGACTGGCCCACCAAGAAGAAAGGGGCCCCTTGGCGTGGGCGATTTAGAACGCGTTCACTGACACGCGGCGTGAAACCGGTCGCAACTTCACCTTTTAGCCCGTGGCTATTTTTACGCGAGGAATAAATCTCATTCTCTTAATCGGACCGGGAAGCGTTCGGATATTCCTTGCCGAGATCATAATTATTGGATTCGATTCATTTGTCTCTGTCTACGTGCACTGTTCGATCGGGAAAAGTCCATTTCCGTGATGATGATCAAGCGAAGGAATACTTCGAGATTCGTTCCTGTAAATTTGGGTCCTTTGGAATGTGAGTGCTTTGGATCTTTATTGCACGAGGATCGTGATGTCAGTGTTGAAATTGGTACCTCTCTTGAGTACTTGCGTGGAAGTACAAGCATTTGTGGAAAATTAATACAGTACTTGAGTGCAAGGGCGACGCGTTGCTGGAGAAATAAGACAAAATTTGACACAACTGAGACAAAATTACCTTCAAACTCTGTGAGATATTATTTAAACTTTTACGTGATAAACATTTCAAATCAGTACGTACTGTCATAAATAATTCTAATTCGAATTGAAAATGGTTTTACAGCTCGTGGTATACATAGGCACTCACCAACTCTGCAATAAAAAACAGTTTTATTAGGTAATTTTGTATAACAACGTTTTGACGATACATGGTAGCGGTAAATTCTGCATTTGTACTCGGAGCAGCGTAGCTCGCAAACCAAGGGGGGTGGAGACGCCAAATCCACAAGAGCCACAACACTCGATGGGGAGCATCATGTTAAAAGTAATAAAATTTAAAAAAATGGAGAGGCGTAGAGGGCGCCACCGATTGTTCCGTGTCGCGGCTTTCGGGTCACTTGGGGTCATTGCGTTGTCTTCGAGAAGCGCCGCGATGATCGCATGAGAGCGGGCGATCGCGGCGGGCTGCGAGACGGCGAGAAGCGCACGCTATTTCTACATCGATCTTCGTAACGAACAATTCACGTTGTGACGCGAATACGTCTTTTGTTTTCTTATTTCTTTTTTCGTTTCATTGTTGCATGCCGCTCGAGTGGGTTCCGTTTTCTGGTCTGTTTTGGGCGAGACACCAAACATTCATCGGGAACTTCGTCGAACAAAGAAATAAATGAGAATGCGAGCTGAGAAATTAAAAAAAAAACCTCTGGAAATATCCCACTTTCAAAAGCGAGAACGCAAAAGAACCCGAAGGTGAAAACTCTCGAGTATTGCAGAGCCGGAAATTTATTAACTCTATTGTGATCGCATCTTTCAATTAACGTCGTGAAATGAAAAAAATGGTCGAGAATCTGTCGTCAAAATGATTAGCGAATTGCTGAAGCAATCAAAACTTCAGTTTATTAATAGCCTGGACGAATAACTAAAAATTGCGAAAAGATGCAAAGATTTGAATATATTAAATATATATTTTTTTAAATTAAAAGTTTTAACGTGTAAAGACTCGATATTTAGATGAGATTCCAGATGTTTCGAATAGAACGCGAAAAGCTGAATTTCTTTGTCCCTGATCGTAGAGATTGGCCTCTCGTGCTAAATGTCGGCCGTCATTAAGCCGCTGCGGATATGTGAGGCAGCTACCCCGTGTTCAACCGTGTTCATTATTGATTCATGGAGGTAATAAAAAACGAGGATCAAAATATTGAGGCCCGGGATCCGGTCTACCATAACCTATAATTTATGCATGATCCCGTGCTGGCTTGACAGCGTCCGATCTACAGGAACGACTACTTTGTTCCTCGTGAGACCATTTGACCCTTATCAGGGCAAGGAATTTTTGGGACAAAAACGGGGGGGGGGGGGGGAAGAGAAATCTCCGCAGAGATTTCTCGGGTCGCAAAGATTTCTCTTCCCGCTCGATCCGGCTGTGACCCCTATTATAAATTAAAGATAAATTAAAGCGAGCGATTACAGTTTATTGCCACCTACGCACGACACGGATTTCACTTCCAAGTGTGTCAGCGGAAGAAAGTTTCCCATAACAATGACCCGGGAACAACGACCTGCCTTTTTTACTTATTGTCACACTTCTTCGAACTACCGTACCAGGTACCAGGTACCAGGATTTCCCGAATTAAACTCATTCGTTAAAAAAATCTGAAAGCCTTCGGTGCGATGTAAAATACGGGAGCGGCACCGAATCGCGAATTAATGAGCCGATGCCTACTTTCTCTCGTGTCGCACTCAATCTTTCGTCTAGAAGGCGGTCTCGACTGTGAATTAGTGCGCGAGATGAGTACGACATGAGAGAAAGATGGTGTCGACTCGTATCTCACGACCCGTCATTCGCTCCCCGGCGCAATCCGAGGCTGATCCCCACAGAATCTGAGTGATGGCGTTTCGAAAAGAAGGGGAGGAAAACTCGGTGTGTGGCTTCATGTCATGGCACGGTATGACATGACATACCATGTTTTCTCTCCCTCAGATCCAACGCATTCTCGTTAGGAACTAACTGACGCGATGAGCCTCATCGGGGCCGTACGTTGTGGCATCGGTTTTGGGCGATATCGATCCAGCGCCCCCCCCCCCTCTCCGCCCCTCAGGTTTCCCCTGCATCGACAATACGTTCGTTTTAACTTTATAAATATATATACGAGGTATACATATTATTTCTATGCTCAGCATATTTAATTTCGTGTCCATTCGTTTCAAGTA